TCACTAACAATTTCCAGAGATAAAAGACATTGATAAATTTTTTAATTAAGCTTATTGTTAATGAACTACTAATAATATTTAATAAACTAATAATAATTATGAAGTGCATTTTTTTCAATCTCATGAGCTTGTAACTTCTGCAACTATTTTAGCTGATAAGGTATAATTGTAGGTTACTACTTGACTTTTCAATGTCTTTGGTTTTCATAGACATTGCTTCAGTTGTACTTGTTGACTGCGGATTGTATCATTACCTTTGATCAAAGAACAGTATCATAAGTAGCTTTAAAGGTTTATATACTATTCTTGTTAAGTGGCTGAGAGCCAGTGTAGTTTCTGTATCTACTGATTGGTAAATGAGAAAGTAATCAAATATAATATACACTTATATCTAGGTACTTCACACCTGTCTTTATTTCTTACTTGCTGTCAATCAGTGTTCTCAGCTCTATTAAGTTACCAACTAGTTCCTTAGTCTCGCGTAGCCAGACCCCGCCCTCCGTGCCTCCGGGTTGGGTCTGGTTGACTGACCTTCCATAAGTAGTTGAAAGGCCCACCGTCGGCTTGGTGAGTGACAGTGACGTTGGCAATAAAATCTTAATGAAAGAGGTATAATTAATTTGGGGCGTGTACAAGTCAAAATGGCCGACAGAGCAATGGATGTTATATCAGAAGTTTCCAGGCGATACAATGTTGTTTTGAAGGACAAACAAGTGGAAGCTATTTATAGTTTTATGAATGGGTGTGATGTATTTGTTGCACTACCTACTGGTTATGGGAAGTCTCTAATATATGCTTTCTTGCCTAGTGTTTTTGATCTTTATAAAGGTGAGTCAAACATACCTTCAAATTCTGTAAATCAGTAATTGTGTATGTGCTTTTAGGACAAGAAGGTAGTATTGTTATTTGTATTAGCCCCCTTGTGTCTCTAATGATGGATCAGAAGTCCAAGTTCACTCATCAAGGCATAAAAGCAGTGTTTGTAGGTGAAGAGCAGACTGATGAAGATGCAATACGATCTGTACTTACTGGTAAAGTTCAGTTAGTCTACATTAGTCCTGAAAATATAATGTGCAACCCATTGTTTCGAAATATGATTTTATCGCCATTATATAAAGAAAAGTTGGTTGCCTTAGTAGTTGATGAAGCCCATTGTGTTAAAACTTGGTAAGTGTACAAAAGTCATGCATTAATAGTTTGACAAATTTTCTTTTTTAGGGGAGACAAATTTCGGCTAGCATATGGTCATCTTGGTGACATCAGAAGCCTTCTTTCATCGAATGTCAATATCATGGCACTGACTGCCACTGCTACAAACGAAACATATAAAGCTGTATGCAAACGGTTGTCATTAAACACACCTAAACTAATAGGTTTCCAGCCAAATCGATCTAATATTGTATATGAAGTAAAGCCAATGATTGACTTGGATAACTTTTGTCAAGATATTGCTCGTGAACTTAAGTCTCTTGCGTTGGAATATCCTAAAACTGTTATATTTGTGCAACGGTACTCAGATTGTTCTGCTATATATCATACCCTTCGAAAGAATTTAGGTCCTCACATCACCTTTCCACCATACTATCCTATTTGGCAAGAGTATTTACTGGTTGATATGTATACTCGAGCATCTACCATAAGTAAGAAAGAGAAAGTCTTGGAAGCATTTTGTAATCCTAAAGGAACTGTTCGTGTCATTGTTGCCACTACTGCTTTTGGAATGGGAGTAGACTGTTCAGACATTCGTGTAGTCATTCATTGGGGTCCTCCATCCAGCCTTGAGGAGTATGTCCAAGAAACTGGACGAGCTGGTCGTGACAACCAACTGTCAAAAGCAATAA